ACACAAAAACCGGGGGGGGGGCGGGGAAGAAGATATAACAACTATACTTTCATGAAGTTACTACAACAAGCAAACGGAAAAGACATTCTTGGGGGGGAGGGGAGAGAGGGAGGAGGGAGGGAGGTGTCGGTGATGGGCCATAATAATCATATACAGTGTATATTGACAAAATAAAAATTTTAAAAATAAAAAAAAATAAAAAAAAAAAAAGAAGTTAGTCACATCACATCAAAGCCTGTGATCTGCAGCAAAGATATGTTATAAGCAACAGCATATAGTATAGATACAAATAGATCTTCAGTCAATAGTAACCATATCTAAAGTGAAGCTACCTTAGAATAACAGAACCCTCTTACTGGCCAGTAAGACTGTGCTTGTGTCAAACACAACAGCAGAATAGGTGTAACCTAATTTTCATGCCCTTAACCATCCCATTTAAAGAAAAAAGCTTCCATTACACAACCTGCCAACCCTAATCATGCACTAAGGGCTCTCAGAGTCTGCCATTGCTCCCTCTATCCATGACTTTCAGGAAGAATCCAAAACCTCATTTACCCTATGGGGTTACTGCTCCCAGTTATTTGCATTTGCATTCTAACATCCCTCAAAGTCTTCCAGCTTTGAAAGTGAAATTTCAAGAATTTACTAATAAAGTGTGGGTAGGTAGGAAGGCCTTGCTGGGAAGGGCTCCTAAAATTATTATCATGGAGAATAGATTCTCTAAGTTGACTGTGTGTCTTCTCTGGTTCTAATTATTGCCTTCTTTCTAAGGGTGAGTGCTAAGTCCTTTGGCCTTGCTGGCCATTTTCACCACATTACTTAAGTGGCACCTGTGTTTTCTAAGATCCATTCTCATTGCATGTTACATTGGGCTGAGAATCCTCCCTTATGAAGGCCTGAGTTATTCCATGGTGCCAAGTTTGGGCTTCCCAGTGACAGTGCAAGGCAAGAGACACTGATTCAACCTGCTGTCAACATTAGGGACTTAATATTATCTCCTAAACAAGAGGTCATTAACAGTCACTGCCACATCTTTCAGAGAGATCACACATCCATCCTATACACACAGCCCAGGAGTGCTGAGAACATTCTCTCCTCTATTGAAAGTCTTGCTCAGCATTGCATCCTCAAGGCCTAACAGTGCATAGAACATCACTTAACAAACATCAGTAGATGCTTCTTAAGTGAATGAATGATGAATGGACAAATAACTTTTTTCCATTGTAACTTCAAACTCATGACCCACCAAGCTGGGCCAATCCTGAAGTCTACTATTCTAAAGACATGGCTCTGAAACTTTTTCCCTGATCTAGGATAGAAGTAAGTAGAAGGGGAATGTAATGCCCCATCCCCAGCATTCCAACACCAGAAATGAATTGCCAAAAGGTCTGATTCGCCAAATGACACTCGAGATCTTCTGATAATTGTCCAATTACTAAATAGCTTTCCTAAAATATATTTGACACATTTCAATACATTATTTCAATCGTATAACTAACATAATGGCTTAAAGTATATTGAAATAAACCTGTAACAAACCCATTTATCATTTTCATTTGTTGCTCGCCCAGTAGAAAATAGAGATAGCTGCCCAATTTTGAGAGGCAATTGTCAGTGATACTACGGAAAGTATGATGTTTATGCTGACACAGTGTTTTAAATGTGAAATTGTCCCATCACATACCATTTTGAAATAAGAAAATTAGTTCCTGCTTTATTTCCAAAGCCCCTGCTCACTCACTGTTATTAAGGACAACACACTTCACTGCTTTGGTATTTAAAGGGCATATAATGAATGTCACTTACCCATGTGGTTCCTGGGCTCACACTTCAATGACCTAATGCATTTTGTAATACTAGTTTCTTAAAAGCTCTGTAACACGTGAACCTTAATTATAGGTATGAAGTCATTCAAAGCAATACTACTAGGAAATCTTCCACTCAACCCAAACTTTATAAAATGCTATTGGTAGTGATCTGTCTCATGAAGAAGGATTTGTGGGGTGCCTAAAAGCAAATCAGAATGGTCTGCAAATTTCCTTGTTACTTAGGAATATAGCAGGTGGAGCACACAGCTGTGGGAGGTGGAGGTATTAGAATTGATCTTCTACGGGCCGGCCTGGTGGCGCACTGCTATAGTGCGCCGCTTGGGAAGCGCGGTGGCACTCCCACCGAGGGTTCGGATCCCACATACAGGCCGGTTCCCGCTCACTGGCTGAGCGAGGCGCGGGGGCAACACCGAGGGTTGCGATCCCGTAGCCGGTCCCCGGTCCGGTACGGGGGCAACACTGAGGGTTGCGATCCGTTGCCGGTCACGAAAAAAGACAAAAAGGGAAAAAAAAAAAAGAATTGATCTTCTACGAGCCCTTCCTCTTCCCCCTCCCCACTTATTTTATTATTAGTGATCCTAGGAGTATAAGCTCAACAGAGCTTTCTAAAAGGACTGAGAATTAACCTGTGGAAGACATAACTGAGTTATGTTTCCTTGTGTATTTCACTACACTCTTCTTCTACTATTGCGCCTTTCATAGATTTTTTTATGTAGACATATTTGTCCCATAAATTAACATTTTTAAATTCTTCAATTGGTATTTGACATTTCCTCTTTTAAATTTGTTGTACTTTGACTTCGTTTCTTCTCTTCCTTCCATCATATCTGGTACCTATGGCAGGAAAATCACCAAGGACATGACATTGAACTCCCTAAAAGCCTTGTCCACCACGATATCCTAGTAGTATGTACTGCATCCAGCACACAGGAGGTATCCAATGAGTAGTAAGTGAATGTATAAATGAATAAATGAAAAACCAATAAACAAAAGAACTGATGCTATATGCCACATAGGAAAAAAAGAAAACAGGATAGAATCTCATTCTGAAATAAAAGGCCTTGGAAGAAGACTGCATAGCATACTGGATGAACAGGTTCTTTACCCATAAAGTTGAGGGCACACCTAGACTTGCTGTGGGGAGTAACTGAAACAGTGTAAATGAAAGCTGCATGAAAATGGTAAAGCATTACTCACAGAATCTTGAATATGACAATGACCTGTGAATAAAATAAAACAAAGCTAGCAATTAAGCTACAGTGTGAAATTGCAGCAATCTCAGGGCCAACCTCGGAGGAGGGTGTAGTCCATATTTCCTGAGTGAATTTGTGACCCTGGTTTTGCACTAAACTTGGGTATCTTGGAGGAAGGTATTTCATTCCAAGGAACTAACAGTTACAGAATCTTTCTTGATTTTATTATTAGATATTAAACCAGTAATAGAGAAACTAACATTTATGAAGGTTACAAAGTAAGAGCTTTTCATTTTTCAAAGTCTCTAAGGTTAAGGTACATACCCAGATGAAATGAATACAAGTCAGCCTCTTTTGATTTTATGGATTCTTTCCAAAAATTATTCTAGACTATCCAGTTTTCCCTGTATAGTCACAGTTCAAATCAGAAACTTGAGAAACAGCAAGTGGCCAGATAGGCTGTAAAGCAAATAAACTGAGCTACATGTGACCTTTTTCCAAATTAGGGTATGCATTTGGTTCCTAAAGAAACATTCTGATATGTAGGAATTCTCATTGGTTAGTGAGATTTTAGAAAAGACCTTTTAACATATAATATAAAGTAACTGTTGCATGGTTTTAATATACACTGAATTTCAGGAATGCAATTGTTGTGTAAATCAGGGCAAGACTGTAAGGATTTTTGTTCAAAATATTACCAAGTGTTGTCCATCATTTGAGAAAGTCATATCCAATGACAATTCTGTGGTTTTTCTGTTGCAATACAGCACACATTGATCTGCATCTTTAGTTGGTGATTCTATATACAGGTTCAAGCATCTAATGACTTAATTTTATCTTCTAGGGAGATTATTCCCAAGCTTTTTAATTGAAAAACATTTTATTCTGCTTTATATTACAGTTAGGGTACTATATTCATTGTTTAAAATTATATGTGCATATAGATTATATTAACTCTGACTTTCACTTCAGGATATCCAAAATAAAATATTTATTATAAATGGGGCATTGAATCTGGTAGGGTTAAGAAACCACTAATTTCATCAACCTCTTCACTCTACAATGAAACTGAGGCTCAGAGAGGTGAAGTAACTTGTTCAAGGCCACAAAGCAAGCTAACGACCTTGGGGCTGGGCACTACCTAGGCCCCTACTGCTCCCTCCAGCACTGCATTGCCTCAAAGTGATGACTACATAAATGCACAGAGGGAGAAAAAGTAAACCCACACCTCGGAACAAGGTGGCGACCATAAAACTCAAAGGACAGGGACTGAGGAGGACTCCCCTCCCATCTTCCAGCACAGAGACAAAATGCTTTAGAGAAGTTGTTTTGGTTTGGTTTGGTTTGGTTTGGCTTTTCTACCTGAAAAACATCAGGTGCTGGTTTGGGCACTGAGCTCATGCAGAATAGGCTGTGGCCAATTCAAAGTTTCTCTCTAAAAGGTACATGGAGAAAGCAGATTTGTGAGCATTGTGTTTAAGCCTAGCTTGAAAATAGTTTTTTTCTAAAAAGGCAGGAAGAACATTACTCATCTCGAGAAAATGATATTCCATTCTTATCCTGCACGTGAACTTTCAAAAATGTACTTCATGGTGAAGAAGTCAAGGGATTTAGGCTCAATTTAAAATCAAGAGGCCGGCCCGGTGGCGCACTGCTACAGTGCGCCATTTGGGAGTGTGGTGGTGCTCCCGCCGAGGGTTCGGATCCCACATACAGACCGGTTCCCGCTCACTGGCTGAGCGAGGTGCGGGAGCAATACCGAGGGTTGCGATCCCGTTGCCGGTCCTGGTCCGGTACGGGGGCAACACTGAGGGTTGCAATCCGTTGCCGGACATGAAAAAAGACAAAAAGGAAAAAAAAAAAAAATCAAGAAATGGTGCCCCTAGTTCTAGGTCTTGAGTTTAGGTATTTTTAGTCAGATGGAGTTCATAGGAGGTCTGAATTTGCAAACAAGTGGGTAGAATAGGTAAAAAGCATGTCCCACGTAACTTTTATATTTAACAAGTGCATTAAAATAGTATGAAACATCCCCAGGAGATAAACACAAGGTAATTAACATTTAATTCTAATCAAATCACTGCTCCATGTTTATGAAGCAGGAAAATTCTCTCAACTAAGTAGCTTTGACATTTGATGCTCAGGTAAACCAAACAAGGCACTCTCAAACTAAGAACACAGAAGCAAGCCAACTAATTATAGTCTCTTAATCATCATCTTCTCCATTTAGCCTTAAGTCACAGCTACTCATAGGAGGAGTTCCTCAACCCTGAGATAAGGGCTGTCTTTCAAACCTTAACAGTAAATTGAAACAGCCAATATTGGTTTCAAGATAAGCTGATACCAACAATTGTAATATTTATGATCAATCTGTAACTGAAATAACTCATCTTTTCTTTTGGACTCAGCACAGTAAAGACTTTTGCTCATATGGTTGCCATAAAAGAGCCTAGTATTTCAGGATGGAAATCCTGGACCTTTGTCATGGACTTTGCTTCAAATGAATATGATCCTAAACGCCTATGCAATAGTTTTTATGAAATTAATGGAATTTGTATCTATAAAATAAAATAAAATGCGATATATGTAAAGTTACAAATGCACTAAGCCAAAACATTTAACTCTCTGTGTGGAGTGATACACAGAATTGCCTTTTCACATTATCTTAAGTGAAGTCTGAGGCAGACACAGCAGGCAGATGGAGACACTGGGGGAGCTGGCTGTCATGATGTACTGTGGCAAAGGAACACGTCTGGTGGTTTTAAAACCCTGGGGAGAAAAAAAAGCAGTTCATTTTTATGCTCACTTTTTTAGATTTTCTTTTCAAAGCTCCTAAATGAAAAAGGGGGAGTTAATCTAGGTTTACAGCAATAAAACCTCTCAACTGGAGGCTCCTCCTATGTAACCCATGGGACCTGCTTGCTTGGGTGCCATTAGCGAGAGGGCCCAGAAATGAAAGGTGTGGGGAAAGATGTTCCCTAGGAAGTAAAACATTCATTTTACTGCACAATGCTGAGTACTAGAAAGGGTATTAAGGAGGAGAAAACTGGATCCATCTTAACTATCCACTTACTTGGCAATCCACATCTTATTGGAGAAGGGCTCCGACTTCGAGATATCTGGAAAATATAAACATGTAACATGAAGGACACAGTAGCCGCAGCTCAAAGGATGACTCTTTTAACATGTTTTTTCCTAAAACCAGGTATATAGTTGCTCTCAGGCACTTTAGAACTATGATTATTTTCCCCTTAAGGTTATGATTCCTTTTATACTTCCTGAAGTTAATGGGCACTCAATTTGGTTCAAATTATATTATCAATTAAAAGCTGGGCTTCATGGCCTAAGAGCAGCCATATTAAATTCAATGCTTTACAGAAAATAATTATTATTATTATAATTAACTAATTAAAGCTAAAATGATGATATCATCTCTAGCAGATCCTTTATATAAATTGTCCCATGTGTCCAAAACACTGTCCTAGTAAGGAAAGTCACCGGGCAGCCAGAAAAGAATCATTTTTCAAATCACACCTTTACTTTCACTAAGCAAAAGGCACTACACTGTAACCAAAGTCTGTTACAGCTCAGAAATATCTGGCTGCAAGCATCATTCTAACCAAACTAGAGAAATAGATGCTAATGATTATGAAGTCATCTGCAAAACGAGTGTACCCAGTTTATTGTAGGGAGAGGATGACGGAAAGAAGCAGAAAGTTGGCAGCAGTTGCACCTTTGAGAACATATTTTATTCTCATCTAAAGTTTAAATTAGCCTGTTCTTTCTGAGCACAAAATGAGAGAGAGAGCGAGAGAGAGAAGGTGACTGAAACACATATAAGGGCTTGTCACAGAAGGCATTGACCACAGGTAGGCCTCCCAATGAGAGTCCAGAGTTAAAATTTGCCATGGCCATAGCACAACAGGTGTTTGATGTTACTTTCTTCTGATATGCCATTTCCTCTTAGAATGGAGAGAACTGTGATTCTCCCAGTATAATACTACCTAGATTTCTTTTTTATCAGTTCACTAAATGCACTAACCTTTTGCTTTTACCTACTGTAAATACTTATTCGTGAATAAGGATAATTAAGTTATATTAAAATCCTCAAGAGAAAAAGGACTGTATCAGGTGCATGCTTTTTCCACTTCCCCAACATTTCTTAGGCCATTTTCTTCATCTGAATATTCCTCCCCAATGCCCCAGCCCATTCTAAAAGGCCAAACTAAATACCAACTTCCATGTGAACCCCTTCCTCACTACCAAGTGCAGAGGAATCTCTAACTCCTCTGATGGCTCTAGCCCTTTGTACTTCTGTTATGGACTGAATCATATTATACCACATTATGGACTAATCAATTTATAGACTGTAACACATCCAGTTAATTTGTTTAAATCATATTGCTCTTCCTCTGTTGAGACCCATTTGGGGAAGAGACCATGTTTTAGTCATTTTTGTGTCCCTCCCAAATCTAGCATCCATCAGATACAGAAGGAATGTTTGATAAGAAGCATGCTGGGGTAATAATAGTTGCTCACTAAACTCAGTAAGAAAAAATGGGTCATATTAACTGCAGGGGGTTCTGTTTGTTTTTGCTGAAGAGGTTTGACAAGTTGAGGGTTACAGCTGCATTGCTAGAGACAGTTTTGGAGAAGTGGAGCATTGCCAGATGTGGTTCTCCTTCCCCACCGCTGTCTCTTCTAAAACAAAGTTGAATAAATTTTAAAAGAATTTTTATTTGAAGGAACAGCAACTTATTAGCCTATCTGGTGTTCACATGTCTTGGTCTAGCCCTGTATTCAAAAGGCATTGACTAAATATTATTTGTTGAATAAATTAACAGTTGTGAGTCATAATAATTTTCAGAGATGTGTTTGCTGTTCTTTTCTTCAGTGGAAGCATCAGTAATCTTTCCAAGAACTAATACACAAAGAAACTAATTTTATTTTTCTTACTTTGGTGTTAGGGACAAATTAATAATTGCAATGCCCTTTATAAAGTATTGAGATCCAGATCATTTGAACAATTTCTCCAAACCCATAAAGTCATTTCTAGAGGAACCAAAGACCTGTGCCCAGATCAGTTGACTAAGGTATCCCATTCTTTGTTCAGAAGACTATCTGATCTCTAATAGCTCATTTCATTCAAAGATAAAAATAAAACTATGAAATAAGTAAAGTCTATTATTCCTCAAACTAATTACTTCCTTTGTAACTACTTCCTTCTTTCTAGAAATGATAAATTCTTTAGCCCACAGTAGTTTAAAAATCAATTTGGGGCTAGTGTTATTGTAACTGGTTCTCTTTCTACCTGAAGACTTTTAATCACCTCTTTTATAGACAACTGTTGAAGCAAAGAAAGTGTCGACCATATGATTTTTGTATAAAAATGATTAGACAGATATGTACCATGCTTAAACCAATATGGCTACGGGGGCAAATGGGACTTAAACTCCTGCTTCGACATCGACTTACAGAACGCACAGAATTCCACTAAAAAAAAAAAGAGAGAGGGGGAAATAGTCAAGAGTTTGTAAATGCTGACACGACTTAAAATAACATGCAAATACCATAGAATGAGCGTTTTTACTGAGATGATTACTGATTCGGTTATTAATCATCAGCATGAACTACACTCCTTTCATTTCCTATAGCTGCCCAATATTTGGCAATAACTTTAAGGTACTTAAATAAAATCCCATGACAATGAACTTTGAGAAATTCAGATTCTTGGTGCTGGTAGAATTTTTTTTTATGAGTAAGCTGTTAGAAATTACATTTGCATTCGCAAGTGTTGGAGAATGTAATCCCTCCATGTGAGCAGGGATTTGTATCTTTTATTCATTGCTAAATCCCTAGCAGCTAAATAAAGTGCTTGGGCCATAAATAACTATTGAATAAATTAATATCATTGAATGAATGAAACAGAACTGCTGCCCATCTACTCTCTAACTCGATTAATAAATAAAAAGAAAATTTTATATACACTAAAAGAAGATTTTCCTAGTAAAATTCTTCTTAAAAATTTCCCTTCGGGGCTGGCCCGGTGGCGCACTGCTACAGTGCGCCGCTTGGGAGCGCGGTGGCGCTCCAAGGAAAAAAAAAATTTCCTTTCAATCAACTCTTTTCCAAGTTCTTCCTTTTATGTATTATCATTTTGTTTTAGGGCTTAAGCTTGGGCAAATGTTGCTAATATGCTTGATGAGAGAGAAGGAAGCTTAAAGGCAATTGCTATTTGACGTAAAACATAAGTTCAATCAACTCTTTTCCAAGTTCTTCCTTTTATGTATTATCATTTTGTTTTAGGGCTTAAGCTTGGGCAAATGTTGTTAATATGCTTGATGAGAGAGAAGGAAGCTTAAAGGCAATTGCTATTTGACGTAAAACATAAGAATAATGGCTATTTCCTCTCCCTCCCTTCCAAACTGCACTGCAGATAAGTTTCTTAACTGAGACTGACAATTAATCACTTTTAAATGCTCAGAACTATAGAAAGCTTCCAACAAGATGAGTTCAAAGGGATTTGCCCTTAAAATATCATAATGTTTCTAAGATGGAGGAAGCAAATATGATTAGTTCCATCTTATAAATAAAGCAACAAACAAAGAAATTACTGCCAGGAAATTATGAAGGATCAAGGGAGAATTGAAGAAAATAATCTGTTCTTTCCCAGACCATATCCTTCCTCTCCTTTGTATGAAATCTTATCAAACAACTCTTTATGAACTTCTTTTATAGAATCTCTGGGTTTATAAATGTTCTTGAACTTGTGAATCAAACACTTGGGATGAATTGTCACTATGAAAGGCCACCGTACAAAAGCCCCTCTCCTGGTGACAGCTTCTCCCTTCATAATGACACAGTCATTCTCCATGAGAGCAGGCCACACGTGATAGAAGACCAAGGGAGCAGTGAAATCCGAGTCATAGCTACGGCGGTACCTATTTGAAATACACAAAAGAACAAGAAAGAGAAGTTAAGCAGTTATGCAACATAACTGGGGGAAAATACCGGTATAAACTTTCATTTTTTATTATGCTCAGATCTAGATAAATATGGATCCTGATTCTGTTATTAAGGAGAGATTGTGGGCTCTTGGCATAGGAACCAGTGACAACTAGAAGCCAGCATGGACTCACTAAGACCAGGTCATGTCTGACTGATCTTAATCCTCCCCCTCTCAGGATTACAAGAGTTGCAATTAGGGGAAATTCTAGAGACGTAGACTATCTTACGTCCCATAAGGCTTCCTATAAGATTTCTCATGCTGTCTCTATGGACAAAATAAAAGAATATAGATGGATGATTAATATAAGTAGGTGGATTAAAAACTGGTTTAATGATTATATTCAAAGAGGTAATTATCGGTCAATGGGAACCCAAATGAAGATGCTGAGGGAACTCTGTCAATCCTGTGATAAGTCAACATGTTTATCAATGACTTGTATGAAATATAGAAAACATGCTCAATAGTGAGAGGTGGATAATTAAAAACAACAACAACAGTGGATGGTATCAAAAAAATCTTAATAGGCTGGAACAATAAGCTGAATTTAATAAGATAAAATGCAGTGTGACACATATGAAGTCCTGCAATTATGTCTAAAAAGTATGCAACTGCACTAATAGAGGAGATTAGTCACAGCACATGTGAAAATACAATAGCAGGTTTTAGTTGTACTCAAAATGAGTCAACAGGGCTACAAGGCTAAAAAGAAAAAGAGAAAGAAAAAAACTACTGCAAATTAGCTGAATCAATAGAGAATAAGAATAAAAATGGGTGTTAGTCCCTCTAGACTGGACAGTTCAAACTAGGGGCCTAAACTCAGTTGTGGACACTTTAAAAGAGATACTCAGAAGAGCATGGAGCACAGGCCAAGAAAACAGATCTGTTTGTCAGAAAGTCTCAAAGCAACTTTATGTGGAAAAAAACCTGAAGCCATGAGGCCAGAAGGAGAATATGAGTAGTTGCTTTCAAAGGTGTAAGAGGCTGTCAGGGTGTAAAAAGGATTAGACTTGTTCTGTGAAGTCCTAAAGTAGAATCAAATCCAGTCATTATTAGGAACTCCAATTTCAGCTGCACAGCCATCCAGACCATAAATGCCCCAAGAAGCAGCATATTCCCTCTGGTTAAAGGCATATAAGCAGGAGGCTCAACAGAGCTCTGTGAAATGTGCAGATTCCATAAATTTAAATGGGCAAATGTTTCTGAGTGCTACTGTCCACCCTCTAATGGGTATTCCTTTCTCTCCTATGGAGACAGATGAAGATAATATGCTCTGTAGGGAAATCAAAAAGATCCAGCTGCAGTGTAATGTCCTAACATCCAGCTTTTCCATGAGTGGGTGCATGGTGGGAGCAGTGGTCTGAAACTAGAAACAGGGCAATGGCAAGAAATAAGAAGTGCTGTGAGGGAATCATTCGAGAAGCCCGTCATTGTGGTTTGCACACATGGGAGAAAGGTATGTGGTCTTCCCCATCAACGAGCTTGCAGAGACACTGGGCAGCTTCAGCCCATCACTCTACAGCCTGAACAAAAGGCCCAGAGCTCATATTTCTTGAGTGCTCACCACATGTTGGGCAGTGTCCTAAGTGCTTTATCTAAATTATCTCAACTAACCTCCTACAGCCCTAGGAGGTAGGTATTATTATTAACCCCATTTGACAGAGAAGAAACTAAGGAAGAGAAAAATGAAGTAACATGCCCAAGATTATAGTGTAATAGGCAGCAGAGCCGGGATTTGCACCTCGGCAGCTCGAGGCCACAGCCTGTGTTCTTGACCACTAGCTTGGTCTCCTCCCAGGTATTATCCTAAGATCTCAGGAAATCTCGATAAAATGTTTTAAACTAATTTGGTTCCATCTAACTTATAAGGGAAACATGAGGAGTCTTCAAAAAGTTCATGGAAAGATTCACATAATCTTTTAATTCTATTTTTCCACAATTTTTTTGAAGTACCCTTGTATTTACCATGTAAAACTTGATAGAAATCTAACGGCCATAGACTAAAGAGTCAAGAGCGTTCATGTTAGTGTGCATAAGAAACACCTGGGGGCTTGTGAAATTGCAACTTCCTGAGTCCCACCCCAGGCCTACTGTATAAAATATCATGGAACGTGGTCCACGAAATGGAATCTGCATTTTTAACAAGTACCTTGAGTAATTCTTTTTTTTTTTTTTCCTTTTTGTCTTTTTTACTGACCGGTAACTGGATCGCAACCCTCGGTGTCACTCCCGCACCAGGGACCGGCAACGGGATCGCAACCCTCAGTGTTGCGCCCACACCGCGCTCAACCAGTGAGCGGGAACCGGTCGCACCAGGGACCGGCAACGGGATCGCAACCCTCAGTGTTGCGCCCACACCGCGCTCAACCAGTGAGCAGGAACCGGTCTCCACAT